ATATACCGATAGTTATAGAAGCTTGATTGTTGATTACTCTTTGAACTCAGGATTGAGGACAAAGAAATGGTCATGATTAGACCGACAAATGAGGGTGTAGCTAATGCTAGCTGAAGATTAATTGTGTTAGTAGCACGTGTAGTTGATAAAGACTAAGATCTCTCTAGACTAGACAAAACAGAAAGAGTGGGGTAGATAGATTGTAATCAGAATTCTGGTCGGTGAATTTAACAAATAATATCGATTAATGTCTTGTGACATGAATATTTAAAAATAGCTACTGTAGGAATAAATCCCAAACGATCTATGTATAGAATGATTATTCTCAATGAAATAATCCTCTCTAAAATACTATATAGTAGGAAAATAATTAATGAGAATATAATGATTAGTTATAATTTACAAAAATGGTAGTTTAGCTTTGAAAGAACCAAAAAGTAATTTTTTAGCGGAAACAGTAATCAAATGGAAATTGGAATTAGTTTTTAGAAAGTTAAATCAATTTAAGGTGCTTTGTCAAATTATTGTAAAAGAAACTAAGCCAGGCATTAAGAAAACTAAATGAAAAAAAAATAATCTGAACATAATTCATACTTCATACTTTTTTTACAGCTGATTGTCTGCCTCACCGTTTCTTGTTTGTAAACTTAGTGATTTTAATTTTGATTTTTATTTGGTTTACAACAGATTCAAAGAACGAGATGCTAGTTATGGTTCAGAGCGGTTGAACTTGCATATCATTTGAAAAACAAGCATCTGCAGATATTTGAGCAGAATAATGGGAATTAATTTAACTTTGTTTTTTTTTAATGTATTTACTATCACTAAAATTGGGCATCAAAATAAAAGTGCGGTGCAAGCCCAGTGGTCCGATCTTTAGGCGTTCGCTCACGAATCTTGCGGGGTGCAGGAGTCGTGGATGAGCACTGCTGATGAGTCCCATACCAGGACGAAACGGCCGTCCAGTGCTCCCAGGTTTCTCATGGTGGTCTAACAATGATTGATTGATGATTTCAAATGTGTAAAAACACAAACCTCCAAAGCTCTAACTGAAAAAAGTGTGATTGTGAAGAGATGGAGGAAGGTGTGTAGTAAACAGATAGATGAATGACGGTAACTAATTCAGTGAAAATACCACTAAGAACATTTTTTTTCATCTGAGTAAGTTCATTACATTTCTTTTACGAAGAAACGAAAAGAAAAATACAGCAGAATAACCAATGGCTTCTGCTCTTAGTCATGTTTGGTGACACCTTCAAAGGCTGGATTGCACTAATTTCAGGACGCTAACCAAGAACTCCGCAAGGTCCTACTGGTCCTAGTCCTAAACAATTTTATTTTACTTCATCAAGTCACAAATTACCCACTTCTTCGCTTTATCCAATTAATCCCAAAGTCAACAATTGGTCTCTTAGAAATTAAACACTGTTGAACCATTGTATTAGTAACAGTGTTGTCACTGAATTTCAGCCTCTCTGTCTTTTACTGAACTTGGCCTATCTGATTACTCACATCACCACTAACCCACACACTTAACCAGATCCATAAATCTTTGTACTCATTTCAACGGCTTATCGTCGAGACTGAGTTCAGGTAAGGTTCCTGACAATCTATATAAAGTAATTTGCATTTAGAAGGTGCAAAATACGACATACATATGGATATTGGTCACCAACTGATTAAGTACAGACTCAATCTTATAAGAAAATACAATCCTGATACTCAAGATCGAAAAGCCTTCCTCCAGGCATCTTTTAATGTCCTCAGAGCTGCTTTCGAAGTATCCATGATGAAAAATTAGAAATGAAAAATTTGGACAAACCTGCATAGCCTCTATATTATACTGGATTAAGGGAAAGGGGTGGTTGAGTACCCTCACTTCACCTGAGTTATTTGTGTTTAAGGCATTAAGATGTCAAGAAACTTCCCAGTCACACTATTCTTCGAAAGACAATCCCCATATATAGACCTGCTCGACTGATCAAAAGCGGACCCAATATCAAAAAGCACAGTGATTTTTAGCTCGTAGTAATGTGGTTAATGTCTAATATTTGGTGGGGATGAAAACATCAATTTACGCATGAACTGACTGAAAACTAGTTTGCTCCTCATTATCTAGTCCTCAGCAAATATTGGAAATCTATGAACTATGACGGGATACAATGAATACTTTGGACGCGTTTGGAAATGAACTTGTTTATCGGCAGTTCGGGCTCTTTTTGAGTTAGTTATTTCCATAACTAATTGTAGTTATGCTATAACTAACCAATCAAATTGTAGTTTAAGCGTTCACCACGTGATCTGGTCTGAAGTGCTATCTTCGTTGTAAATGACCTACTAATTGAAGAACATTATTATCTTATTATACCGATGTGACTCGTAGTTTTACTCATTTCCATAAGACACGCTATATTGGTCGGTATGTCTGCTCGTTTCACTAGGTAACTGTAATTTACTTATTTACTGTACTAATCTAATTGTTTTGATGTTTAGAAACAAATAAAGTTTATAAGCAAATTGGTCTTGTTTTGACTATAGCTTTCCCACAGACTCTGTGCTCGCCAATATTGCGTTTACAGTTCTAGAAGTACATCTGTAGGACAAATTAAATCCTACACTGGGACACATTATTTTTCAAAGCACTGCTAAGTATTTAGTCATTTTCCTCACCAGAAGATCGCCAACATACTTAAAAGAAATGTAAAACAGTTAGTCCCTTCCATAAATTTTGATAGAACAGTGAGAAGACGTAAGTGATCTGAAAAATGTGATATATTTGCGCCATACATTTCGAACAATATGCTCACACATATTTACTAATCAAGGCATTTTATATGAGGATTAATAAAAGGTCAAATAACTAAAAGTTCAAATTGACATAAGGTGACAATTGTAAATGGAGAGAGAAAATTAACGTAATACGAAAGGGTAGAAAATTGTCACATTACCCTACGCCATACAATAGCTTTGAGATTGTTCGAAATGTAAAGAGCAAATATATCACATTTTTTAAATCAATTACGTCTTCTCACTGTTCTATGAAAATGCTTAAAAGAACCGGAAATAAGTCGTTCGGTCTTATTGACTTGTAGAGTTTCAGGAATTTGGGTTACTAGCAGACTCCCACCTTTTAAGATGGATCAGTTATCACCAACCACGGAGGACAAGATAGTCTGATCAGTGTCACTGAGGGAAGAGAACAACTGAACTATTCCTCTAACAACTCTGTCCATCATCGAGACGTTGGAAGATATTACTGATTAGTATGCAGTCAACTTTACAGAATATTTCACTCATACCAAAATTCTTACTTTCAGTGGTTTGAGCGAGTTAAGATAGTCTCAGTCAGTTACCACATGCAGATACTACTTCTCACACATTAGTACACTCCAACTACCAGGCTTTTCGATTCTTTCACAATTCTTCTACGTAAAAGTCTACGTTTATCCTCAAGTTGTTGATTGGAAGGAGTAGATTGACATGCCTGAGTAAATTGCCAGGAGTCTGTAAAAACCGAGTGTTTCAATGCAGTACGTTACGCAAAGCCGTAAGCGACTTAACTTTCCGTCTCCTTGGTATCCTACAAACAGACAACCATTGCAGTTTCCGGTGAGTTGATATCTTGCACTGAACCTAGCTCGGTTTGAGTTTTAGTTACAACAAAATCTACCACTAGTTTGCTGAAAATTAGAGGGCTGAAATACAGTCTGGTGAGTTGATATCTTGCACTGAACCTAGCTCGGTTTGAGTTTTAGTTACAACAAAATCTACCACTAGTTTGCTGAAAATTAGAGGGCTGAAATACAGTCTGACTGCCCGAACCTACATTTTGATACTTTTAGGAGCCAAATCGCCAAGCCTTCGGTTCAGGAATCTAATTCACAAACCAGTTCAGTAGCATTAATAGATGTCATCTCATGATTCCCCGTGATCAAAAATAGGTTTGCGAGACATGTATCGCCTCAAAATTCGGGATCCTATGTGCACCATTTATCAGAAACCAAGGTTTTCCAACTCTTTCTGGTGGAATCTCTATATTCATCAATCAGACCGAAAAGCTGCGATTTCTCTTTATGTGCTTTTATTTTCGTAAGCTACACCCATGCTTCATGATAGTAGTGAGTCAGTTTGTCGTTTGCTATTTACATCCTGTAATAGTTCAATATCCTAATTACAAATAGTACTTAAAATATTTTACGCATACATCTCTTATGAGAATTTACAAGTGAAATAATAACAGACTAACACCAGAAATATGATAATACACAAGTAGACTGCCACTCATTACTTGCTCTTCCGTAATGAAATACCATATCTAGCATAATCAGATATATACCAGACTTCAAGAATGTGATAGGAAAGATATGATGGTGATTGTCCATAAACATCACTGAGATTTATGACATTGAGCTGGGCTGATTTGACAATCACAACTTCGTGCTGATCACAAAATAGTCTGAATTTACTCTACAAATTTTTTATTCGTTTGTGATTACCTTCACAAATGCAGTGTTTATTTCAAAGTAACGAATGATTTGATTAGCTAATTGGTTGATTCCAGTTAAATGTTTTGTACACATCCAGATGAATGTTTATTCGCTTGTTGAAACGTAAAATGTAAACATCAAAATTCATCTTTGTTACCTTTTTATGTTACATCATATGATTCTTCTAAATCAATAATGATGAAATTGATTCGCGTAAATTTTTAGCGTACCGTATCCCACTCAAAAGTAAATTCGAAGTTTCTTGTCACCCCTGTTTGGGTGGGCTAAGACTACGACAAAACATTACTGGTCATTATTTTAAAGCTTATGCACAACAAATATGACTTCAACCAATCATAACCAACCATTGCATTGCCCAATCCTTTGGATTGACATGTACTTATTGATTTCAGAATAGAAATTGTTATTGGCCGAAATTCCAACCAATAGACACAAAGGGCGCAAGCCGTTTGAGAGTATAGTAACAATAAGGACTTCGGAAATTGTGAACATGTTCTGTCCTGTCACATCGTTGTTCATGTCTGGATGCTTCGTGTCTAGTATGTTTCTGTGAGGGATTTGGTGAATTTCTACTCCAATTCATAAAGTTAACTAATTGTCCTCTTCCGACAAGTGATTAACCTACTGCTTCCTCGTTTCGAACAACTTTCTCAAGTAAAAACAAATAGTGTATCGTAATTTTACGCCTCATCATAACACTGAGAAAACTGATTAGAGTTAATGACTACTTCTGGATTAAAAATTTGCTGAAACTCAAAGTGACGTGTTAGTCAAGTTTTCATGTGTACCAGATCGCTTCTGTCAGTAGGCTGTGAGAAAACAATACAATTCTCTCAGCAATTGATAGAAGATATAGTATTCTAAAAAGAATGTCGATTTATTCGGTTTTAATGCACTGTGAGATGCAGGATTTATTCCGATACTCAACAACCTACCAGTAAATTCAAAACAAATAATTGTTTTTGATTGAATAACTCTATTCTTAAGTTACCTAAAATTACCGTATTTGGTGATTTTCAACGTATTTGTACCCAGAACTTTCATTTGGGATAATTATGCCTCGGTATTCTGAAGATAAACCATCAGCGGATAAATGTCATGTGGAGCTACCAGACAAACCAATTCCTCTGAATTTTAAGAATCAAGGTGCAGTAAACAATGTATGTGACGGGCTAGCTGAAGATAATGACAAATTAAGTCAACAGTTACGTAATGATGAATTTGAGATTGTTAGTCCTGAAACACATCCTGAATATTTTGTACCAGTTGCTCCCGATGGTGGTTGGTCATGGATTATTTTGTTGGCCACATTCCTTAATTTCTTTCTAATTGATGGCATCTTCTTTTCTGTTGGTCTTTTAATGGTTGAATGGGCTGATCATTTTGAAGCTTCAAAAACCAAAGTCTCATTGGTTAGTTCATTAATGCTAGGATGTTATCAAATGATCGGTAAGAAACTGATTTCTTAAAATGATAAAATAATTTATGTTTACCTTTTTTTTCGTATTATTTTGAGCTTAGCATTGATCATGTCATATCGGCAAAATTTAACTAATAGGATGATTACAGTAACATCAAGCTTTATTGTCAAAAAAATTTAGCCCAATGGTAATGTGATGAACTGAGTTTCAGAATCAATTGATTACACAAATTTTGATTTTTCATTCATTATTTGTCATCCAATGCATAAATTGTAGTCAAGCTACCTTTCCACAATAAGTAACAGTTCATATCCCCGAGGTAACTCAAAAATGCCCTGATACGTCCGAGAGTGGGGGGGGGGAGTTTGTTCTCCCTCTTGAAATGCTTGCATATGGCCATGTGTATTTAAGCACTGCCGAGGAATTCCTCACTGTCTCCTCGAGGCAGGTATGTTGTTTAGGAAATTGAAAGGATGAAAAGAGAATATCCCGCGCTCAAGCTGGGTTGGTGAATACGGGTCGGAAAACCTTGATTCCAAACTAGCGATGCACATGAGCTCCGAGATTCTGAAGAGACAAATGGTGTGTGAACCTGTTGTTAGTCACAATCTATCATGCGACTGCATTTTCCATCGTCACTCCACCATCTTGTGGATGGAACTTCTGAGTTAAAGATCCGGAGAGTGATCCTCTTAAAATTCATTTGTATAGATCTGGATACCCGGAAAGTATCCTAGCCCGCACACATTCATTGGTTTGTGTGTTGCATATATATTTTGGTGCCTCTTTGTATAGACGTTAAGTAAACAATAATAATAAATATGTATTTCTGGCGATATATATGATTAGCTAGTTGACTGGTTCCGTATTCTAAAATTTGTTTGGTATGGATTTGGAGACTTTTAAGGTAAATCAGCATCTCAAGTCTGCATAGATTATGCTGTTTCAGATATCCATTCATTTCAGTTGTTATATTTCAGGTAATGGAGTAAACTTTTAATCGTAATATTTAAGTTTATTAATCAAATAAGGGTACTCAGACTGATTAGTTAATAAGAAATTTGAATTTATTTTCATCTTGTAATATTATAGGTTGGATTAATATTTATTCTCGATACACTCATTTTCCCATAATTTCTAAAGTATTATCAATCGAATTATTGTTTTTAAATTCATTCTTAATTATTTAAATGTGACAGTAAACTATCGTCATAAAACTTAAGATTATAACTATTTTGGAAAGTTTAATTATGAAATGTTTAAATGAAATGGTTTTATACAGTTGAGTGATTTTGTTCGATTTAATCTAAAAACAAGGGTAGCTAGTGAATCATTAATGAAATAAGTTAAGAGACAGGCGTTTTATTTCTCTAGTCTGCTTTGGAATGCACTCATCCACAATCCTTCATGGAATCGAATTCAAGATTTTCAGTTCTTATGACAAATGAACCACCGTTTTACTAGACAAACTATAATTTTAACATTCAGATTGTTTGTCTACAAATGCCTTGAGATTTGATGACAACTTTTTACACTGTCCAACAACCACATGATTATTAAGAAAGGAAGAGATCTCAGATTTCAAGGATGTTAATACCTTTGGAACGTTTGCTTCTCAAATGTACTCTATAACTTATTTAAGAAGGCTTTACGATTAACGGTAGTGAAGGATCATTGATTACTTTGCAACTTACGTATTCAACCTTAACAAATCATTTATTTAGTCTAGCTGGTGGTCGTGATTCCTTCCATAATAATAATGTATCTAATTAAGCTAGGCGGGAGTTAGTGGGTCTACCTTCCGAAGTCTTTTTGGTTGGGATTCGAAGATCGATCTGAAACAAATAGTTTGTTGGTCCATATATGTTATTCTACTTATAATGTCGATTGATCGTTACGTCATGAGACAAAAAATTATCGTTATTTCTTTCATTAACTAAGTCTAATAAATTATCACTAAAATGTACTATGACTATTACATTCGTTTTTTCTTATAGGTCCTTTTGCTGCAGCATTAACAAACAAATTTGGTTGTCGCACAGTTGCTCTTTTTGGATGCACTCTGGCATCTGTATCGATTTTCGTTAGTGCTTTAATGCCTACTGTAAATGCTTTAATCATTACGTTTGGAATATTAACTGGTTAGTCTTTCTACTCAAATATCTATTGTTCTTAGATTTTTTTTATGAGAAAAAATTTATCATAATTAATAATTTATTTACTAAATACAAGTTAATGTACTGGGCTTTAGTTGTACTAAACTACTGTATGTGGAGCGACGTTTCAAGTTTTTTGTATCATTGAATGACTGCCCCATCCAGAATAACTGTTCGCAATTTAATAAAACTATTTATGTCGCTCCTTCAAATCATAAGTTCAGATATTATGCTTTGGTTTTCAATTTTCAATTATGTTTGTTATCTGCAGATTATATTTCCTATGTTTCTATCTCTCATTTCTCTGGTTTCTCCTCTCAAGATCTATATTGGTTTACGAACTTAGGTTGATATACGTTTGTATTAGATGCTACGTTATATACAACTGACTGATTCGGATATAATCTGGTGACTGTTGACAAAAATTGTGAATCCTACACATTAGTATAAATATCATTAAAAAAAACTGTGAGATCAGATTCTCAAAGATCGATTATTTGTAGTCAGTTTATTAGATAGGTGTGTCGCACCCATTCTGACCCACCTGTTAGTTTAAAATAAACTGAGATTTGTGAGAAAAATATCAACTAAGGGTGATATTCAAACAATACATGTAGACAGTATTTATTCTTGTCTGGAAACTTCAATTAGTCTGTGAAATGTGTATACTGAAGTAAACTAATTTTTAAATCACTTGATTTTAAAGTAAGTTTATATATTCTCTACTAAGAGATACATCCCAACTATGTTATTATAACAACTAAATTAGAAAGATTGCGGTTTTAATGTGACTGAATGTACTGAGACATCGACGAATAGTCTTCACTGAACGACAAATATAATTACTGTCCTCAATTGATACATCATATCTCATTGTAATGCATGGATATGAGGCAACAACTAAGCTGTGAATATTACAACCAATCATTATTTTTCGCTAATGAAGCAAATAAAGATATTTATTTTTCTGTAAATCTTAGGATTCATCTAATTCATTAATATATATTTGTCTCGTGTTCACTCATCTCTCTCTACACCGTCTGTTAATTAACATTTTCATTTAGTATTGTTTTTGTGTAATGATCCAAACTAGATACACTACAAAGAATCCTAAATTATTTTGTTTGTTTATCTATCTCCGTAGGATATCGGTAGGTTTAATTGTTTATTTCAGCCTTTCAGTCGTATGTTAATCTCTGTTTGTTAGCATAAAAAGACTTACAAGTTTTGTGATTAGGGAAAAATCAATTACGTAACAGCTTGACCAACTAATTCTGTACTTTTTAAATACTTTTTCTATAGTTAAAAATCACTATGTTAAAGTGGCGTTTTAACTTTTTTAAAAATAAAGGCTCCGCATTTGGATTAATTTATTTACCAGCACTCATTGCGGTTAGTTTCTATTTCAACCAAAAACGTGAATTGGCTAGTGGTATAGCTGTGGCTGGAACACCTCTTGGGGCTGTGATATTTGGACCTGTAGCGGGTTACTTAATTCAGGTGAGCTTCTACAAAAATCCATTTCATTAAACTGTCTGTTCTCGTGACAAGCAGTTCACCAGTCACTTGACCTTGATTTATTATTTTAACAAGCTCTCTAATAGGTTGAATATTTCATATGCTGTTATTTTGTCTGCTTGTTAGTAAAGTCTGATGTATCTAGTTAGTCAGGCGAGACGTGCCTGTCACATGAGTGGGTGGGCTTTAGTAATTGGACCATTTAATCTGACCAAGGTCATTTCTCAACTCTTAACTGTCTGGGTCACTGAGTAATGGTTTTCCAAGCACCACTTGTAAAGGGAATTTGCTATCGTTTCAACTACATGGTATGAAGCCAGTCAGATTTTAAATTGTTCGTTGAGTGTATAGGTTGCCATTTAAACCGACTAGTTAGTAACAAAGCTACCATTAAACGATAGTCATTGCAAAATAAAGTGACTTTTTGGGGATTTTTGGATAGTTTGTTTCTGGTGTTAAATTTTCTCCTATATTATTTCCATTACAATCGATTTGGTCATTATTTCTCATGGTTGTGGACCATCACTTGAGACTTTCTTTTCCTTCGTAGCCTCTGGTTTAGCTTGATAAGAGTATCAGGTTACATACCCTTATATGCTTATGATATTGGTCTATGCTCCAAATAGTTTCGGTTTTAAGGAATTGGAGAGATCAGATTTACAGCATCTAACAGTTTATACTAACTCAGAGACTCCGACTTAACTATCGTCTGCGATACTTTTAATGCTTGACTAAGCAAACTAACCGCAACAGAGAAAGACAGATAAAGATCTCAGTATTCTAACTTAGGAGATATATAGTTATGAGATTTTAGTAAATATGTTCATTTACGATTACGGACTTGACATTTAGCCATAAATATAGTGCTATCCAAACTAGTAACCAACAGTTTATCTAGTGCAAGTATGTGCACATTTTAAATTTGACTGAATAAATTCACAGCTGACATGCCGTATTCAGCACTATTCGAAAAATAAATATCCTAGGATTTTTTTTACAAACAGCTAACTAGACCATGAAGGGGATCCTCACTTTGTAGTAGCCTTGGGTGAACTACAGTCTCCATTCATGACATGGATGATGTATATTTAGCAGGTTTAACCAAAAGTTCAAAGACAACTAATAAATTACGACAAGCTCTATGGTATTGATGATAAACGTTCACAAAATCATCACTAAAGGCTTCTAATATCATAATGTACGAAAAGAATTGGAAATTTGCCTTTTGAAATTACCGTAGGAGAATAATGTGGAAAAGTGGCTATTGAAAATCAATCAAATGGAAAATTTAACGATTAAAAAGTTGTTCAAACCCATCAGAAATGTGGTAAAGTCAGTTATTGAAGAATATATTACTGAAAAATGGTAGACAGCAATTCACTCTGAAACCTAGAGATTGCGACAATGGAATGAAGTCGAAAAACAACTCGGCTAGTCCGGTTGTTTTTTAGCAATTCTCCATGCAACAGCTTGAGTCAGTCAGTCAGATGCAACGTAGAACTTCGTACGTAAGTACATCAGTTCATGTCGCCATACCACATCAGCACAGAGATGTAATTGTCAATTCAAATCCAATAGTAGAAGAGTTAGTAAGGGTATTAGAAGTAATCGGAAAGGTTAGGATTAGAAGATATTATTCAAGAAGTATGATTAAATGAGAAAAGTTTAGAAAGTCAAAACTAGAGTTGTTGAAGAATCCAGAAGATTAGGATTTGAGAAAACACAAAGAATAAATGCACCGGCGCCATTGCGAACGATTTTGAGAGATGTCATTCAAGGTCTCTAACCATCGATTATTATCATCTCGCGGACTCCAACCAGGTAGTCGACAATTACCGACATGGCTAAGTCCACTCGTCAATGACTTCATGGATTTCTGCCATGTTTTGATTTGGCCGCCCCTAACTTTCTTCCAAACTATTCTTACACTACAAAACAAAGCTCGACGAGGCAGTCGGTGGTTGGGCATATGCAGCACATGTCCCAACCACCTCAACTGATGAAGTTTCACCACTTCATCTATTGATCTGCCATTCTTACCTAGTACCCGATTCCTAATAACAGCGTTGCTGACTCGGTTGTCCCACGATATACGAGCAATGCTTCGAAGACACCTATGATCGAAAACTAGTAACCTACGAATATCTTCTACTCTGACTGGCCATGTTTCACAGCCATAAAGTAAGACGGAGCGAACTGCTGCACAGTACACTCGTCCTTTAGTCAACAAACGGATATCTCGCTTACGCCATAGGTGACGCAAGTTGGCAAAAGCCAATCGAGCCTTCTGTATCCGTGCTGAGATTTCGTCAGTCACCAGGCCATCGGCACTGATGAGACTCCCAAGTGAAGCGGTCTACACGTTCGACTACTTCACTCCCTATCACTAGTTCAGGTGCCGATGAAACCCAATCTTGAAGCAACATTTTGCATTTCAAGGGGGAAAAATGTTGCTTGAGTCAAAGTTGGACAACTGATTTCCCACTGTAACAACATTGTGCTAACTGTAATCAATTTGAGCAAAGGAGATCGGCAAACTGTGATAGTTTAACTTCAGAAGTCTTTAATAATAAGGGTCCTAGATTACTGTTTCGACTACTGATCTTTTCAGTCTACGAGACAGGACAAATATGTCCCTTAGTATCATTGAATAAAATAAAGGCGATTCAGCGAAGATAATTTTCTTTTCGACGATTTCATTTACTGAAGCTGAACAATTATATTTATAGTTAATTTTTGTTTTTTAAAATTGTAGTCTATAGTAAAATTGAATGGTGTGAAATAACAAAACAAACTTGAAATTATGACATGTCATGAAATAATAATGTTCAGTTAGTGAAAGGTGCTAAGGTAAGGATAATTGTCCATTCTTACAACTGTTTGTTATGATTTGAAGAGATATTAGGTAGACAATTATTCTTACCTTAGCATCTTTCACTAACTGATGATTATTACTTCATAACATGTTACAATTTCAAGTTTTTTTTTAATTATTTAACACTTCTTTTTTACTTCTTTTTTATTATTCGCTTAAACCTGTTACGACTCCGTCTGTAGACCCTCCGGGGCTACTGCCAATCCCAAGCTCGGATAAATGAGGAGGGTTGGGCTGATGGCCTGGTGACTGAAGAAATTTCGGCACAGATACAGAAGGCTCGATTGGCTTTTGCCAACTTGCGTCACGTATGGAGTAGGCGGGATTTCCGTTTGCTAACCAAAAGACGAGTGTACTCGCAGCAGTTCGCTCCGTCTTACTTTTTGGCTAAGAAACATGGTCAATCAGAGTTTTTGATTAAAGGTGTCTCCGAAGCATTGCTCGTGTATCATAGGACAACCGAATAAGCAATGATGTCGTTAGGAAACGGATCTTGGGTAAGGGTGGCAGATCAGTAGATGAAATATTGGAACTTCATCAGTTGAGGTAGTTGAAACATGTGTTGTATACACCCGACCGCCGACTGCCTCGACGAGCGATGTTTTGTGGTGTCGAAGTAGATTATAAGAAAGCTAGGGCGGCCAAGCCAAAACATGGCACAAATCCATAAAGTCAATGACCAGTGGTCTGAGTCATGTTGGTAGGTGTCGACCATCTTGTTGGTACGCGAGATTATAGTAATCAGTGGTTATAGACCCTGAATGACACGGCTCAAAACCATTTGCAATGGTGTAAGTGCATCCATTCTTTGTGTTCTGTCAAGTCGTAACCTTCGGAGTTCCTCAACAGTTTATCTTTTTAACTTTCACTAGATTCTACTTCTTGAATAATATCGTTGAATCCTAAAAATTCCGATTACTGCTAATACTTCTACTACCTTTACTACTATGGGATTTGAATTGACTATCGTATCTCTGTGCTGATGTGGTATGGCAACTTGAACTTATGTACGTACGTACGAAGTTCTATGTTGTTGAGTGACAGACCTGTTGCCCCTAATGGAGTATAGGCCGCCGACCAGCATTCCCCAACCTACGCTATCGTGAACCTTTTCCAGTTCCATCTAATTGATGTTCATCATTTTCATGTCTGCTTCTGATTCTCGGCACAATGCCTAATTTGGTCTTCCTCTTTTCCTTTGGCCTTGAGGATTTCAACTGAGGGCTTGTCTTGCGACGTTACAGGGTGATTTCCTCCATATTTATCCTATCCACATCTAGCACTTCTCCCTAATTTGTTCCACTACAGCAATCTGGTCTATCCTATCCGACAGTAGTGTGTTGGTGATGATGTTAGGCCAAAGGATCCGAAATAATTTACAAGGACATGTATTTATAAATACATGTATGTTGCGTATGATACTTTCTGAGGTTAACCTAGTTTCAGTCCCAAATAGTAGAACTGACTTGATGTATTCATTTAAAACTGTGACTTTGGTATTGGTTGATAATTGTTTAGATAATGGATCGGACATCACACATCTCCCTACCACACCCTACCATCCACTGTCAAATGGTCAGAATGTGTTTAAGTTGGCCCAATTTCAATCGAAAAGGAAGGTATGCCAGCTGAGTCACTACAGAACTTCTTATTTATATATCTAATGACACCGAATGTTGCATTTACAGATCGAACGTCCCCATATCATGGAAACTAAATCAAGTGGAATGGTTACAGACTGGGTTCAAGTCCAACTCCGACTAGATCAATTCTGTCACTCAATATAGTTCATATCCAATCCTCATAGTGTAGTATTGTTAGAGATGCTAAATCCTCAGAAATCGCTTGGTAAACCTCTTAACTTTTGAGTTTATTTTCGGGAACTTGAATTTCTTATTTTCGCGCCAAAACCACCTCTTATCACCTTCAGTTTGTGTTTCCCACTGGCTAGGACCTCAAAACTCATTGATTAGTTCTCTTTTCATGTTATATTCTGTTACTCCTTTAAGGACAATTTTTGTACTGTATAAATTGCGCTTGAATTGAATGTTCGTTAACTTGTTGTCTTGGGAATGCTTGTGGATTATAGATCATTCCCGATAAACTAGGACTTCTCGCTCTAGTTAACTGGGCTAAGTTGCATAGAACAGATAAGCTGTTCTGTTATTGTTTCACTGGTTGTCGTGCCCTGCTTGACAGCTTTCAGATATTTAGTTAAACGTCACCTAAGCATATTTCTTACGACCTCAACTAATATTCGATTATAAAGTCTATTTGTTAGATTCTGTACTACAAGTCCTCTTTTTCGTAAAATGATATTCAACACCATATCAAACACGATATTTTATTTTTCCACCAGAATCTAATATCCAATAATATATCCAGTTGTTTCCAGTAAATAAAAAGTCATGGTATGGCAACATGAACTTATGTACATACGTACGAAGTTCTACGTTGCAACTGACTGACATGAAATAGAAAAATTATAATTGTTTTATTTTTGATAAGATCATACTTCGTTCTTCATTTCAGGATTTCTAATCTCTTGCTAAACTTTAAATATACTGTTATTGAATTCATCCTCCAAAAAATTCCACTATGTATCATCTATCCAAGTAGAGCGGTGATTCAGTGATTAAGGCGTTCAAACATTGACCAGTAAATCTCGGGTTTTAACCATGCTCCACTTCGGTTTCTTCAAAATCTCGACTAAACTATCTTAGTAAATTTCAAAAATGTATTGTTAATCCAAGGGATTAGTAACTTTGTCAAATTCTTTGTTTGCCTTTGTTCCCTTTCCTATACACACTTCAATACCTGATTATTTATGTACATCTTAGTACATAGTTTCAATGATTACTATTTCACTTATGAGTACAAGGTTGCCGAGATCGTTGAATTTCGTTAAAATCCTGATCTATTTCCTAAATTGAAACATTCACTTATTCTTTTCTCTACTAGTTGTAGTATACTAGTATTTTTGTTATCGATTTGTACCTACCGATTATTCGTAGTCATGCAATCTGTTTCATTGTAATCATTGACCTGTAAACAGTTCTAATCGATTGAATATTTCCATATATGCGTGTAAATGTTACTGTATATTAGAGTAAAGCTTAATGAAGACCTAATTGAAAACAATATATATTATATTATTGTAATATATAAATACCTTAGCAAAAATAAGTGATCAAATTTACTACACCAATGCATCACATTTTTACAGATCAATTTCATCTCCATAGACGATGTCTTGAATAATATTTCACTTTATCAAAATTTTCTTCCAAATGAAAACATATTTCTTTTTTAATAAAAATTTCAAACAATATAATTACTGGAATATTCACTTTTTTTCTGTCCTCATTTATATATATTTTTTTTCTTTAAAAATTAGTTATATGGTTGGTCATGTACATTAATATTCTTCTCTGCATTTATGCTTCATGGTATTTCTTTATCATGTTTTTATCGTCCATTAAAACCAATGCATAAATTAGAAATATTAAATTTATCTAAAGAAACTAATGAATCTATTGTTAATTTAATTGATGATATACAAAGTAATCTAATGATAGCATCGAATACATTTATTAAATCAAATCAATTTATAAATTCATCAACTCGTATTGGTCAAACTTTGTATAAATTAGATGAAGGAAATGAAGACATTGAACAACAACAGCATAAAAGTTCTAACATTGAAACAAATAAAAAATTAAAAAAGAAACAATCTACACATGAGAAATTAGATGAATTGTAAGTGCATTTTTGTTGTTGTTGTTGTTGTTGAGAATTTTCATCATTTATAAATTAAATAACTATTCTCTTTCCAAATTCTTGATGTATTTTAATCACTGTGTTAAGGTAGTTGTTAAAAAACCAATCATTATATGTGAAAATCAGGAGAGCCAATGCAATCATGTTCTTTCGTGATCCAGTTCGAAACATGAAACATGCAAGTGTTCCAAAGGATACTCTACTACCTCTACTGCTATGGGATTTAGATTGACAATTCGACCTTTTTGTGTCAATGTAGTATGCGAACCAGAGTTTATATACGTACGTATGAAGTTCCGCGTTAAAGTTGACAGACTGACTGTCTCCAAAGGATACTAGAATCGACGTCAACTAAGTATAAGTACGATATATATATATATATATATGTATATACATATATATATATAATACTTAGACGTCTAACTAGAGCTCGTGAAGAGCAGACTCGAGAAAACCAGTCTGGTTTTCGACCTGGACGTGGTTGTATAGACCACATTTTCACACTACGACAGGTCCTGGAACACAGACACACATTTAGACGTCCGACAATAGTCGTGTTCCTGGACCTTAAGGCGGCATTCGACTCAGTGGATCGTGAGGTTCTGCGGCAGTGTCTGTCATTGAAAGGTGTACCAATGAAGTACATTAACCTTAAACAAGCTCTCTACTCGAACACCACTGTTCGGGTAAGAGCATATGGCGAACTGTCATCTGAATTCTCTACATCAAGTTGTGTACGTCAGAGCTGTCCAATCTCTCCATTCTTGATAACTTTGTCGTAGACACCCTCTTAGAGTTAATATTAAGCTCGTCAGATTTTTCAGGGGTTGACCTTCAACCAGGTAAGTCGCTTACTGATCTAGAATATGCCGATGACATAGTTCTATTAGGTGAAGACGCTGACAAAATGCAGAGTCTTCTGACTACCATAGGCAACAATGCAAGCATGTTTGGGATGCGGTTTCCCCCCTCGAAATGCAAAATGTTGCTTCAAGACTGGGTTGCATCGGCACCTGAACTAGTGATAGGGAGTGAAGTAGTCGAGCGTGTTGATCACTTCACTTATCTTGGGAGTCTCATCAGTGCTGACGGCCTGGTGACTGACGAAATCTCAGCTCGGATACAGAAAGCTCGATTGGCTTTTGCCAACCTTCGTCACTTATGGCGTAGGCGAGATATCCGTTCGCTAACCAAAGGACGAGTGTGCTGCGCAGCAGTTCGCTCCGTTCTCCTATATGGCTGTGAAACATGGCCGTTAAGAGTAGAAGATATTCGTAGGTTACTAGTATTCGATCACAGGTGTCTTATAAGCATTGCTCGGTATGCTGGGACAACCAAGTAGGCAATGCTGTCGTTAGGAAACGGGTACTAGGTAGGGATGGCAGATCAATAGATGAAATATTGAGGCTTGATCATTTGAGGTGTTCGGGACATGTGTTACGAATGCCCGACCACGGACTGTCTCAATGAGCAATGTTTTGTCGTGTAGGTTTAGGCTGGAAGAAAGGAGCAGCCAGACCAATAGATGGCAGAAATCCATGAAGTCATTGACGAGTGGACTTATCCATGTCGGTAATTGTCGACTACCTGGTTGTGGTCCGCGAGACGAAAGTCACCATTGGTTAGAGACCTTGAACGACATGGCTCAAAATTGTTTGCAATGGCGCAAGTGCATCCATTCCTTGAGCTCTCTCAAATCCTAATCTTCTGGATTCGTCAGCACTTCTACCTTTGTCTTTCTAACCTTATCTCACTGAATTATACTTCTCGAATAATATCTTCGAACCCTATTCTTCTTCATTACCATTAATACTTCTACTATCTGTATCACTATGGGAATTGATTTGACATTTGCGTCTCTGTGCTAATGTGGTATGGCAACATGAACTTATGTACATACGTACGAAGTTCTACGTTGCAACTGACTGATATATATATATATATATATATATATATATATATATATATATATATATATATATATAATATGTGTATTTTTAAGATTCCGTATGACCTGAAGGTATATATCATCACAAAATCACGCTAAACGGAGTACTAATTAAATTCAATGAAGCGTTAACAACTAAATTCACCTTGATTTAGTATATTCCCAGCTATTCTTAAGCTTTTGAGTGTGAATGTAATTTTCCATGTTTTCAAAACTAGCCAATCTACGATATCACATGATGATCATACAGTTTTTTTTCTTTATGTTACAGTTCGAATCGTGATAGGAATAACTTTATAGATCATAGTTTTCCACATGAACTTCATGAAATTCACCGTAATCTTGTTATTAACACTGCAAACAATTATTGTGGTTTTGTGTGTATATCATATTATTTGGATAAATATCATTTTTATTTGAAACTGAGTTTAATCTCTAATAAATCTGTGAATATAAACAATTGATTAGCGTTAAACTAGAATGCAACTATCATCACCTGTTCATTGTTCTTTAACTATTCTTTGGTTGATATCAATTCTTGATGAATGATGACCTTTTGTATCAGTCTGTATTGTCTATAAACATTGTACTATACTCTATCATCAGTACGAAGTATGAAATATTCAACTAATTATCAATTGAGTTTTAAATTTACTATCAATTCATTTAATATAATTAACATTGTACGGGAGGAGCACAGAGTTATTGATATCTTGAATTCAGTTTGCATTCAACAAACTTGATTTACTATTATCTTAGATTATTAGTTATTATTTTCTGTGTTTAATAACTATACCTTTCTTAATTAGTCAATTAGGTGTGAATAGTTATCATTTATTAAGATCATTATTTTTATTTTAATAAGTATTAATATTTACTTTGATATCCAGAAATGAGTGCTAAGTTATATATTTTCATGTATTTTTTTCTCTCTTTGCTATTATTCTTGACTGACATTAGTTTAAATTGTTCAAATGTATCAATTAATTCAATAAGGAAGCTATCACATTTATACTCTGAAATCCAGTTTATGATGTTTTATTTCGTTAAGGTTGCACAAAAATCAAATCGAAATATATTATTCAAGCCTACATGATAATATCAATGAATGTATATAATCATTTCTGTCTGAAAAAAAAAACTAAGTTAGTTCACTTGTAATTGAAATTTCCTACTAATAATCAAATTCTATCAATCAAGTTTCAATGTTTGCATGAGTTGAATGATTGATGAATGCCAAGTAAAAAAAAAAAACTAAACTGAAGTTCAAGTTTTCTAGCTCATAGCTTCTAGCTAGTTACCTTAAAAACTATATTTTACTCTACAGGTTAATGCCATTTAAAAAAAATTAAGTATTGTTTTTTCTTTTTAAAAATGTCCTCTCATTTATAATACTACATGTTTGAAATTTCAGTTGATTCTTAAGAAAGTTATTCATGTAAATTGTATTCTATTGTTTTCTTTTTGATGACTATAGATATTCGTTTTCTTCTTTCTTTTTGTACTTTATAGGAATCCATATAAAGAGGATGTACAGAAACGTACTACTGAAACAAAAGGTATTATTATTATTAATTATCCTTATATTACGGGGTTGTGAAGATTGTTAAGTTACACATTTTTGAATCCATGAATCGATCAATGTTAGACCACCACCATTAGAAACCTAGAACCACTGGACAGCCGTTTCGTCCTGGTATGGGACTCCTCAGCAGTGCGCATCCACGACTCCTGCACCCCGCAGGATTCGAACCCAGGACCCACGAAACGGCCGTCCAGTGCTTCCAGGTTTCTAATGATGGTCTAACATTGATTGATTCATGGTTTCGAAAATTATCCTTGTGTTCATCAAAATATATATATATATATATGTATATATATCGAATTTAGTTGGCACAAGATTACAAGTTAACATGGATTAAGTCATATGACCTTTACTAAGTTTTCTATAATGTGCCAGTCATAGTTGTATGAATATATCATTCATTGAAAGAGGTTTACTACATATGTGTAAATGTTTAGTTTATTAGTTTAGATTACATTTGTTCAATGTAAAATCGATGCATCATAGACACTATAGTGATAGATTTCAGTTTGATTATTTTGATTGAAATATTTATGTATTTTCACCATAAACTATTTTTTAAAAATGTATATTAGGTGAAAAAAAAACTTTTAACATATATACTGTAGGTTGTTGTTGTTGTAATATAAAATGATTTGTAATTCAACCGGGTTATATGGTATTTATTGAACTTGTATTGTTTGTTATCATTTGGCCTCTTGATTTATCAATGTTTTAGTGATAAATTATGTTTTATCCGAGGTCTGTATATATACACACGCACGCACGCACGCACACACACATGATATGTTTGTGCATATTTTGTCCAACATTTTTTTTGTCAAGCTTTAATAATTAGAATTGCTAATGATTTCAATTCATAATTAGTGCATATATGCGGATAAAATTTTTCACATAACCTTTATTCGTCATTGTTAACGTGATAAATAAGTGAAAAATTATATTTTGAAATAAAAAAAAATAATAAAATTTATTTAAACAACTTGGCTGAGATATTTTCTAATCTAGAAATATTTCTCGTGAAAAAATAAATTAGAGTAGTAGAGGATATATGTAATAAACACGAACTGATTGTTTGGTTTCAACTGAATACTTTTTCTTACCTATGCACAATCATAGTGCTACTTTAAAGCTGAATCCACACTGCCAAAACTTTATAATAAGCAAAGGTTTTAATAGAATCAGTGATATTTCTTAATTTTGATGAATTTTCAGCATAACATATCTTTCTAATATGTATGATATATTGGACAAAGATTAAGTTTACTAATCAGGTGTTAATTTTATTAGCTCCTAAGTAGCCCACGAAATCCATCTCTTCTAATCGTGTTAATTGACGTTCAACCATGTTTTATTTATGTATATAGTGTTTTATTCACAAGCATATAACTTTATTAGAAATAACATCTAACTACTCTGCGTTTACATTGATAATCAGTGTTCCAATTACTCAAAATCGTAAGCTTGCAAGTCGAATAAGTATAAGTATCTTTCCTATTTTCTTGTCTTTTTATTATTAATAACTAAAATCTTTCAGAGATCCCAAATTGTCCTTCCCTATTTTTATGTTTTTAGGAAAAAAATCACTTATCTCATAATTTAGTTGAAACAATTTTAATTTCTAGAATATGCTTACTCATAAACTGATCTCAGTTTGAGCATCATTTAGAGATCATGGAGCACTGAACTTTTGTTTCATCCTAGTTTGGGGCATCGCATCAATGCGTCCCTAAGATCCAACTAAAGATCGAAACCAGGGCTTTTCAGTTTGGCTTAACCATTAAAACCGCGGAGTCGACGTCTGGTGGTATCAATCCAAGTGCTTTCAACTTTTAATAGTCGGATAAGCAGGCGAAATGAACAACTGTTCACTAAATTAACGTTTTTTTAATCAGCTGAAAAATAATTATTGATTGAAGAATATTCTTTCCAATTCATTCTCTAAAATTTTATGTCAAAATTAATAATTCAAAAAGTGACCAGGTTTAGGCAAAATACGTTGTTTCAAATTACAGCATGTCATTTGTTTTTAATGTAAAATACTTCATTAGTAAGCTATTTTATTTAAAATAGATTACGTCTGTCTTTTGAGGTTTGGCGATTTACAGCCAATGTTAACCGGTTGATTCACTTAACCTCGATTTACTTCAAAACGTTTAGAATCACTTATGATTTATATGAGTAACAACGCACAGATAAAATTCCATATGCCATTTCGGTTGGCTTGTAATGCTGTGTAAACATCCATGAAATTATATTTGAAGAAATTGTAGACTATTGCTACAACACAAAGAACATTCACTGTCGAATTAAAATAAAAAGAGGAATATATAATTAATGGATATTGGATAGGTGAATGGAACTCATCACTACACATCAACTTCCTGGACTATGAGAAAGTATTTGACAACGTGAGTTGGAGTACCGTGTAGAATTTTTTTGACACTATGGTGTATTTGAGCAGATCGTTGTTATCATATGGGATTCTCACAACGGACTACACTGCATGGACGTACATGAAGAGCAGTTCATTGCTGCATTCAAAATGAAAAAACGGTATTGGACAAGGCTGTTTATTTTCGCTGTTTCTCTTCTAGTGGTTGACTGGATTATGAATACCTGAGCATCTCATGAAAATCACGGAATACAATGGACAGCTTGGAAGGAGCTAGATGATTTGGATTTACCAGATGATCCAGTTCTTCTACTCTACACACTGCAACAAATGCTGCTTCAGACAACTAGTGTAGTAGCAGCCTCCACATCACTGGACCTCAACACACACAAGGGAAAAAGCAAGATCCTCCTATGCAACACAACATGCACCAAACAAATCACACTTGGATGGCAGATCAATAGATGAGGTATTGGAACTTCATCAGTTGATATGTCTGGGACACCACCGACTGCTTCGACGACCGATGTTTTGTGGTGTAGGAGTAAGTTGGAAGAAAACTAGGGGCGGCCAGACCAAAACATGGCAGAAATCCACGAAGTGGACTGAGTCATGTCGGTAGGTGTCAACTACCCTGGTTGGGGTCCGCGAGATGATAATAATCGATGGTTAGAAACCTTGAGTGACATGACTCAAAACCGTTCGCAGTAGCGTAGGTTCATTTACTCTTTGTGTTCTATGAAATTCTAACCTTCTGAATTATTCATCACCTCTATCTTTCTTTTTCTAAATTTATCTCGCTGAGTTATACATCTCGAATCACATCTTCGAACCCTATTCTTTTCCATTACCGCTGATACTTCTGCTACATCTACTACTATGGGATTTGAATGAACAGTTGGCGTCTGTGTGCTAATGTGGTATGGCAACCTGAACTGATGTAAGTACATACGACGTTCTACATTGTAACTGACCGACTGAACTAAAATAATTTATATTTACATTACATATAACGGTAAATTTTCTTCTTGCAACATTTAGAAGCAAGAAGTGAAATGCCTAAATTATCAGAATCAACAACTATGAATGGTCAAACACCAAAAGAAATTAATAAAGATTTGGTTGACCCGAGTAGCTTGAATAATCTACCGTCCTCATCGTCGACAGCTGATCAACCCTCTACCCCTGGAGCCAATGTTATTACATTATCTTCAGTCCCAAATGATCCTATTATTTCCACACAAAAAGATCAATTATCACAAGAATCCGTTGATGAAAAACAGCTGAATAAATTGGATCAAAAGGTAAATCAACTCATTTTTTCATTGGGTTTAATTTCCAAAGGCTTCATATACCAAATATTCAATAGATTCTTTCTTATCAATGTAAAGTACTTTTCAGAATCTTTTAGTGAACAGTGAACTAATCGACTGCGTTTGATTGTCCAGATGACCTTGAGGCAAATGTCCAGTGGTCCTATTTTCTTGCTATTTTTTTACAATCAGAACTTATGATATACAATGAATAAGATTGTAATACAAATACTGTTTTTATATGGTTGAAGAACATCTTCAGAATTTCTATTTGTTCTGTCCTAAAGTTGAAGAACATTTGATAAAGAAACCCACCTGTGTAATTATTTATCTGCTTGATTCAGTGACACGCTCTCTGAGAAAAAAGTGTGCGGTTATTATTTAGTGAAGTATAACGAATATTTAGGATATTTGGTAATCTAAAGGGTGAATTAAACAGTGTGCATAAGCAATTAAACGTTGTGTGTTCCAAAATGGAGTTTCTTGTAAGTTCTCCATCAGTACACTGTGATATTACAAGAATTAAAGGCGTAATCACCCCTAAAGTTACTGTTGTCTAAGGAAGTGATTCCTGTCGATTTGGAAGACACTAACAGAGTATCTGTTACCGATTGTTTAGCTAGGTCAGTTATTACTTGAGTAGTCTCCAGAAACAATCGGACTATCTATCATGAGCCCTATAAAATCCCACTTAAATCAGTGATGTACTCAATACTGAAAACAGCTGACCAGTATAGTTCATGTCAATGTATCCACCTTAATAAAAAGCTCCAGAAGTTCTTGTGCCCTATCTTTCTTAGATTTGATTGACATTTGCACCTGAAGGACTGGAGGAATCGGGACAGTTAATTTATGCGCTTATTAAGTTCAGGAATATTGTTTCAGATAAGATCGCCAACTGAAAACTTAATCAAAACCCTATCCCACAGAAATGTAGTGGTGTAGAAACTACGACGAATGTTGTTGTCTTTTCTATAGGACCTACTCGTGTACCTAACATATCACATGTGAGACAATGCTCTACTTCATCGTATGTATGATAAATGTCGATATAGATCTTACACCTGATTTGGCATCTCATATGTTCGGTGCGCCCATGGCTGAAGAGAGTCCGCTCTCTTATGATCAGGCTTATATGACTACTGCTAAAGAATTCCTACTCTTTGCTTTTGCGCGTTAGTAGTGTTACGAAATTGAGAGGACGTAAAATAAATATCCGGCGCATAAACTGAATTGGTGGATATGGAGGGTCCATTCAGGAGGGTTGGAAAAACCACTGAAAAATATAGATGAGCATTGCTTGCAATTACATGACGCTGTTAAAATGGCGAGTAAAGTCGCTTACGGCTCCGTGAAAGGTCTCACTGATAAGTACTAAATTTCTGCAGGTCCTCAACAAGTTACTTAGACACGTCTGTCTATTCCGAGTAACCACGAGTTTGGCAATAGATTCTTATGTAATTAAATTGTTCAAAGTTTGGACAAGGATCAAGACGTCTGGTGGTCGGAGAGCGCTAGTGAGTTGGAAGCAGCACCTGTATCTGGTAACTGTCAGAAGCCATTTTCAATTCGTCCGAACCACTGGTAGCAAGATGTCCGGTATGAGTGAAACCATCTCTGGAGCTGATGGGATGTCAATCAATAATATCTGCTAACGTCTTAGACAGTGGATAGGGTTTTTTGAGAAACAGCTCAGTTGGTCTGCTCCACCGGCGACATCGATCAGCCTGTCCTGTTCTCCATGGTCGGCGACGACTAATCCATCTAACGAAGCGGAGTCTCGCAAGGAGCTCCAGTTACTGGAGAGCCAAAAATCACCCGGTGACTTACCTCCGGTGCTTTTTAAAGATGATGACCTTTTGATTATAAGACTGACTGAGTCGTTGTCAACGTTTGGCATTTACTGAGTGTTTTAAAATCGTAGGACGGGTCTAAAGTTGCCCTTGTCTTTAAAAAAGGTTTCTGTTAGCGATGGAAAAACTATTGGAAGAGACTTCTACTCCCGACTGCGTCCAAACTATTGGCTTTCTTCAGACATTACAGATTGTTCGAAATCCATAGAAGATTGACTCGCGAGGAGCAGGCTAGTTTTGGTTCTACCCGAGAAGCTATTGATTAGAGAGAGAAAGGGTGGGAGTAAACAACCTTACTTTACACCGGTCTTCACTTCGAACAAGTCTGTCAGCTGTCCTCCGTGTAAGATTTCGCAGTTTAATCCATCGTAAGAGTTCTATACGATTTTAACTATCTTCTCAGGCACGCTGTAGTGTCAAAGAAGCTTCCATAGTGTTGTCCAGTCCACACTATCGAATGCCTTCTCGTAGTCAACGAAGTTGATGTGGATTGGTGAGTTCCATTCAATTGATTGTACCACAGTGATCCGTAATGCTTCAATTTGGTCGGTACATGTTCGATCCTTACGAAATCCAGCCTGTTGATCTCGAAGTTCGGCGTCTACGAAGTCATCCATTCTGCTTAACAATGCCCTGTTGAAGACCTCGTCTGGTGTTGAGAGAAGAGTGATGCCTCTGTAGTTCTCACACTTGCTGAGATCGCCTTTATTTGGTAATGTGATGAGGTATCCTTCTTTCCAGTCTGATGGTACTTTTTCCTCATCCCAAATCTTGTTGAAGAGAATGTGAAATATTCTTGCAGTTGCTTCCACATCTGCTTTCAGTGCCTCTGCTGGAATGTTTTCTGGTCCTACTGCTTTGCCGCTCCTGATTTGTCTGGTGTCCATATTGATTGATCACTTTATTTTTTGATTCTGTGTTTTAAGATTGAGCTGTGACTTTTCCTAATTTTGTTCAGCTTATGTTGATTGCTGCCTTGTTCCTTCTTTCTTGAATCATATCAAGAGTGCCAACAGAGATCCATTCCTTGTGATGGTACTTCTTGTGACCCAGAACCTCGTAACATAATGTCTTCACATCCAGTGTTTTGCATACCAACCTTTGCATTTAGGTCTCCCATCGGAATGGTCAAATGATTTGATGAACATCTCTCGACGATTGACTGCAGTCTCCCATAGGATTGATCCTTAAGGTCGTCATTGTAGTCGTCGGTAAGTGCATAGCATTGGATGACGTTCATTATAATGTCCTCTTTCTTTGTTTTGAAGGATGCTTTAATGATCCTGGGTCCATGAGATTCCCATCCTATTAGTGCCAATTGTGCTTGTTTGGACAGCATCAGTGCGACTGCTTGTGTATATGGAGCATTTTCCTCTTCATGGCCAGAGTATAACAGCAGTTCTCCTGAAGCTAGTCTCAGTTGTCCTACCTGTATCCAATGCGTTTCACTGATTCCAAGAACCTTCAGGTTGTATCTTTTCATTTCTACAGCGACTTGAAATAGTCTTCCGATCTCCCACATTGTTTGAACATTCCATGTACCTAAAAGAATGGTTGCTGTGGTTTTGAGAAGAGGCATCGACCTGGTGACTTGTGAAGGAACGCGGCTTTCATCATGAGACGTGATAACTCATATGAAAGAAGACTTTTTAACTCTCAGTTCAGAGTTTGAATGGGTTGGATAGATTCTTCTGTTGAGCGTTTTTTTAGTAAATTAGTTTTCTACGGGATGAGGTCGTCAACCTCTAGCCTAACCCTCTTCCTTTATCGTGGCTTGAGACTGGCTGTAGCCTCAGAGGGTCTCCAGGAGGAGTTTCCCAAATAGTTTACTTTAGTCAATTAACGTTTGTTGTCATTTTGTTAAGTTGGTTTAGTTTCTACCCCTTTTTCTAATGATTAATCATCCTGGAAAATTGGTAATCTCATTTATTTTGAAATTTTACAATATATTTTGTTTTTCAACTAACTTTTTTTCAATCATTGTTTTTCATTATGGAATATAGTTAATAAAATTGTCAGTTCCAAATATATTGCGAAAATACATAAGATCACAAAAATGAACCGAAATCAATGAAAAATGGGCCTAGTTTATTTTATAATGGATTGTTAGTTGTATGAAATAGTTTTATTTTTATTTTTCATTTTACGAGTGATAAGCTTGATTCTAATAACTGATTGTAGATTCGTGTATTCTGAAAGCATACTTGCTATGCTTTCGTTAGTTAAAAAACCACTTTGTATGGGCGAATGGAATGGTAACCAGTGACGCAATAACAGAACAGCTCATCTATTCTCTGCAACTAGAGCGAAAAGTCCTAGGTTATCAGGAATGATCTATAATCCACAAGCATTCAGGAGACAACAAGTTAACGAACATTCAATTCAAGCGCAATTTATACAGTACAAAAATTGTCCTTGAAGGAGTAACAGAATATAACATGAAAAGAGAAAACTAATCAATGAGTTTTGAGGTCCTAGCCAGTGGGAAACACAAACTGAAGGTGATAAGAGGTGGTTTTGGTGCGAAAATAAGAAATTCAAGTTCCCGAAAATAAACTCAAAAGTTAAGATGTTTACTAAGCGATTTCTGAGGATTTAGCATCTCTAACAATACTACACTATGAGGATTGGATATACACTTTACTGAGTGACAGAATTGATTTAGTCGGAGTTTGACTTGAACCTACAGTCTTTAATTAATCCACTTGATTTAGTTTTCATGACATGAAAGTGTTTATGAAATATCTTAATTATTCACTACTCATCATTTTTTGGGAATAATTATTAAAATGGGTTACATTATGATATCTGTTTTGCACGAAAATGGGAAAATCATCATGTCTAATAATTTGGAAAGATTTTGTGGTCTGTTTTAAACAGCATAATCAATGTAAATTCAGAGAGACTTTTAGGTTTTCATGAACCTAAGAGGAAAATAATTCGATTTGATTATAATTAATTTTAATTTAATTTCCTCAGCTCATTATCGTGAAACTTTTCCAAATGTACTCAAAATGTTTAGCAATAAAATCCTGTGGTTATTACGTTGTTTTTCAGGCAAGAAACTTTGTCATTTGTAATAAAAATTACAGAGCACTTGAAAATTAATGATCGATTTTTTTTTATTTTTTTTTTCTCAAATAAAGCGAGATCTTACTGATGACCAGTTGGTAATACGCAGTGGCTATAAACTGTCCTCAAGATTAACTAATTTCTTGAGTAGTATTGGTAGATCACGAGAAACTGATCCAACTTCGTATGTTTTTTCTACACCATGCCTAAGTGTTAACAATCCAGCTTACAATGAGCACATTAATCAGAAGACCAATAAATTTTTACGTGATGTTTACCATAGAAGATTTGTGAATCATTTAAGAAATCAAAAATTATTACGTCCTACTACTACTATATCAAGACGACGTCATCTTTCGTATAATTTAACTCCAAGTATTCCAACTATTGTAGAAGATCAAGAATTAACTAAATCTAATGCTAACAATCAACGTCATGCTAATTTAACTGGTCAAGATTTTAGTTCTGCTATTACTGTTGCAAATTTAGGTCGAGATAGACGTCGAATATCTGTGGATCGGAACTTAATCAATTCAGGTCTTATTCATAGTTCTGTTGCAAGTGTATTAACTACCAATCATCCACAAAAGATAGAAATTTGCAAAGTGGATTCTAAACCTGTTTTAGTTGCATTGCCTCATGAATCTATCAATATTGAAGATTATTCACGACCTCTTTATCGAAGTGATATATTTTTCAGGTAATCTAGTACATAAAACAATATTTATAAATGTTATTTTGTAAAAAAATTTATCTAATTTAAACAAAATTTCTTTTTTTGAAAATATGATTGTAATAGTAATCGATTAAGATAGGTAACATTTGTTGAACAGGATTATTCAATAAATGAATTGTTGTATTTACATACACATAAGAAAATCCTTATATTTAGTCTCAATTTAAAAATTCATTAAAAGTACTTTTAAGTGTTGAGTTCATTCTGTAGTGTAGTTTTCGCTAAGTGAGATCGACAAACCCGCCGATGACGTTAGTATGGGCCACCACTTTAACTTGATCTGACCTTGGTTTGGTTATAACTTTGTCTGTTTGCCAATCGTAAATTTTTTTAGATTTTTTTACAAATAAGACTAAGCGTCATTGACATATTTGGTTGTGTCCACTAGTCATTGTTCAGTGTGTAACATTTTTGTCATCTTTTTTCATTTAATCGATTGTATTGATTTCTGTTTTTGGCATTAACTGTATTAGTTTATGCTTTCGAAGCGTAGATTTTCACAAACCAAATAGCTTACTTATTATTTTTGCCTTTGTTCAAGCCAAAACTCTGTTCTTGATAATCTAGGGACTTGTTGAATAAATTGACTTGTACATAATTAAATCATCCAGTTTCCTCTATTCCTTGTCCTCCATTACATTTTTAATGAAGTGTCACCTATAAATATTTAATCTTTGATTTTATTATAAACAGAGATGGGTGGTGGCTAGTAGTGGAATCCAGGATGCGCGTTTCATCGCCAGCTGAATGCACCTGCATCCCGGAAATTGACGCTTGGTTTCATTTGTTCAGTTTATTTCTCTTCCTGTTAATTCCCTGACTCATTGTGCTAAAATTGAATCGATACTCATTCATGCCCAGATTCTACATCGACTGACTAGCTGTCTGACTCATTAAACTTAATTTGACAAGACTGTAATTTATAGACAAACCAATGAGATGTAAGATTTCAAGTCTTGGATTTTGACGCAAAATTCATTCGTCCATACGCCAAATAGTATTTTCTCATTATAGCTGATATCAGTTTGTGATGAAGACCCTAACTTTAATTCTTAAACTTAACGTTTAAGTCTAAATCGTAGTCCTAATTTCTCACACCAATTTACCACCCTCACTTGACCCTAGTAAGTAGGTGAATATTCTCAAGGTCATTATAACATCTCTTAAAGGCCGTCCACAAATTATAGTCTCATCAATGATCTTTAATACGAATTGTTATCAGATTGATAGCCCATAAAAATCAAGGAGTATAAGATACTTAGCTGTTTTTCCAATATTTAGAACTTCCGCACTGTCAACATCAGGTTTGATAACAAATGAGAATAACTTTCAGAATGTACAATAATGTCAATCAAAGCAATTTATTGGACGAGAAACTTATTTCTAACATGGATAATAAGCGAAAAACGGTATTCAACGGTATTTCAAGCTGTTCTTATTTACCGATCGATTAAATAAATTGATTATTATTTGTAGAAGTTTGTGTTGTCGTCTAACTTACATTCGTGATTAGGTGTCATCAGTCAAGTGAATAACAGTGAATACATATATATTAGTGTTTGAATCGATAAGTACTTGTGAACATCAATACTAGGATATAGGTAGGTACATGGAGTTGACTAATCCTAGAAAAAGATAAAATGCATGTTTTGTAAAGTCCTTACTGGACACTGTTAACTAAATAAATTTCACTTACAATCTAAGTCACATCATGTGTACTTTGAACAATTCTATGATATGAGAAAGAAAACAGAGAAATATTATATAAACTAAATTAAACTAGGAATTTATTATGTGCATTACATTTTTAACTAAATCAATAAAAATAATAACTTCAATCATGTATCATTGAATTTTTAAAGCAATCATTATTTTCTTTGTAACAATAAACAAAAAAAAACTGAAATATTGTTTAATATTTCATTGTGTGTTTTATTATTTTTAATTCAATATTTCATTATCATTGATCTATAGCAATGATAATCACAAATCAGATGTTCATTTTAACATTATGGTACAAATGTAACTCACTTATGAGTTTATGAACTTACTAAGGAAGACATAATCAAAGACTAATTTCAATAACACTCCTGAAATCCTTTTAAATGCTAGCTCATTTGTTTTTCTTTCGAATTCAATTTTCGCTCATAATCATCTATGCTTTCTGATTGATTGTTATTATTCTTTAGTTCGTTAATTTCTATTGGATTGTTTTAAAGTAGCTCAATAGTTGTCTCTAGTTTTGTAACAATTATAGACTCTTAATTGAACCCAAATCACGAGATACAGCAAAACTACAACGTAGTAATACTTCAACAATGTTTAACACTAAATATTCAAAATCAAGAGGAATATCAATATTCACTAGAAATGTTTTAAAATTGTATTGAGATTAGGTAAAAAAAAATATAAGAAACACCACTTATTATGTAGTTAGTCTTAGTTACATGACCTTAAAATAAAGTGTAAAAACAGTCCATTTGAAGAGATGTTTAACTGAGAGAAAAAAAAAGAACAATACTAAAAACAAGTAAAATTTGTAGTTTTCTAATTTACCGGGACAGAGAAAAATTTTGAATATCTATAATTCATGTGATTATGTTAAAATCAATGTTTTTGACATAAAATAAGAAAAAATACGAAACAAATTCTAAAAATTACTATTTACAAACGTTTCTTTAAATAGTTTATTGCTGTATTCAAAATTTGTTAGAACTGTTTATGGAGATTATGTTAGTAGAGAGTTAAAGATTATCGAAACAAGATACGGAACGTCTAGGAATTTGATGAACGCTGTGAACTAAAGTATGTAGTAAGATGTAGACTATGTTTCTGGTATTCTATAGATGTTAACAATCAGTGATCAACAGAACAAATTGAATAGATGTTGATCATAACGAGTACTTAACTGTGTTTTTTTAATCAATAATAATCTATTATTGTTGATTTGTTTCTTCTTGCATAGCATTTACCTCGAGTGATTATTTTATTTTTCATTATAAACTTATGGAGATCATTGAGTTTCATTAAAATTATGGATCGATTATTGTTAGACCACCATTAGAAACCTAGTATGGGACTCATCAGACGTACGCATCTACGATCCCCGCTCGCAGGAATCGAACCTAGGACCTTGGGTCTCGTGCACGAACACTTAACTTATAGACTACTGAACTGGCATCCAACAATGTTGATGTCTAACTTTAATCTATCCCTGATATCGCACAAACTCATCCACTGTCGTTGGTAGTTATTGCCTACACTTGAGGTGGTTGAACTCCACTAGTCAGGACTTCTCAGTAGAGAACACTGAGGATTTGCTGACGACGCTCACTGCTGATAAGTCCCATACTAGGACGAAACTGCCATCCAGTGTTTCCAGGTTTCTAATGTTGGTCTAACAATAATCGATTCATAATTTGATTATTTTATTATCTTTCTCGGTTTCTGTTATTTTTCTATTTACGTCAGGTGTTACTATGTTCCACTATAATTCACTTTGTTCGACCAGATTTCATTATCATCATTATATTTGTTTATCTGTTGTGGATCATTTGTTAAAACTAAGTTGATTATTGAATAGATTAAGAGCTGTTTGATAAAATTCTTGTGATCAGTAAATATTAGTGGGACAGAATTTGCTCATGTATTGATAACTGATGCTTATCATCATTTCTCACTTTCTGGATTTTTATTTAAATTTATCATATATGTGCTTTCAAACAAAAAAATCAGTACCTTTGTGTGATAGTTTACGAGTTTGATTCCTTGCTAGGTGATTCACTTGTCAACTTAGAGTACGGAGATGATAGATTTATGTTTGACAAAGTGCAAAGTTTCCTAATACTTTTGACTAACAATTCATTAATTCTGTTCTCGTTGTCCCCCCTCTCAATATAAAATGTTTCTTGAGGCTTAATCTGAATTAATATCTAGTCTGACCATAAATAGTGAGTCTATTAATCAAGCTAACTAACTAATGTACAACAGTTCTCTCTGTTTTAATCTATAGTTGTGAAACATGTCCTATAAATATTTAGGCTCAGGTTTAGATTATCAGTTGATTAGTGAGATAATAAACATTCTTCAATTAAAGTGGTTAGGATTTGTGTTTTACATATGTTGAGCTATCACATATTTCAATGAGCGACACTGGCATAAGGATAGGATAGTAAAATATTAATAGTGATCGGATCAAGATGTAACTTAAGTTTACGGATTTGTTGGTTGTTGCTTTGATCCATGTTTTTATATCCAGAGTTCCTCGTCGGAGTCCACACAATGTATAGATGACATATTATTAAAAAGATTACCACTTTTGTTCCTTATTCCCTACTAAATATTTAGTTAATCAAATTTTCTAAATTTAAATACGCCTCATTTCCTTTTTCTTTTAATTGCAAATCTAATGCTTGAACATTGACATTGACTCTTTGTTCATTTTCTTTCATATTGTGGCAATGATAGGTATGAAAATCCGCATATAAATTCATTCTGACCAGTTTCTTTGTTGAAGCTGAATGACCTTAAAATTTGTCCTCATCTAATAGAAAAAACTGGGTTTTGATATATGACAAGAGTTGTTCACTTTTTTATGTTATTACTATTAAGAAGACAAATTAAGCAATAGTGGTCTTTATTCATTAAGAGATAGTAATAAATGTTCGTTGAATAACAATAAGACAATCCAAATTGATGATAAAAAATGAGATCACATTACCAACTATTTAGTAGGAATAAAACAAACCTATGCATTCCATCCTTTGGTCCTCAATGTGCATTTGCCTTGCTTTTTTACGTGTTTTTCAAACTTTGTGCTGTCCACACTGACTACTTATAAGTACTAAAATTTATTGTTTGAAAATTTCCAAAATCATGATTCTTGACTGAATTTCAAGTGACTTTGTGACTAAGGGTGACTTTCTATCTATTTTGCAAAGTGATGTCGTCAAAAATTTTATTCATCTATATGATGAATGTGTCATCTATTTGTCTAATTCTTTAGTTCGTTTACCAATAGAGCATCTTGGCTTCTGCAATTGAGAACTCCATTGAAGTTCCTTTGATAGATAACGAAAGAGACCTGTTGTGACATTTAAAATAAATAAAGATAATTTAGTGGAGAGGATCGTTGAAAAGAAAATTTCCTCCATTTTTTCTTTGATATGTCTGTAATCCTGACCTTTCGTAAGATATATTTGAGTTACTGAATGAACAACTCTGAGATGCAACTATATCCAGGTGAAGAGTGTTAAATAGGACTTCACTGTTAGCCACTATTCAACTCTGCCTAAAATGCTTGCGACTTAATGGCAATATCTAGGTAATCCACATAGGATGCGGATATGAGAAAGGAAACCGATCAAATGCAAAGTTAAATGTCCATGTAAATATTCAAATCAACAATACGAATGAATTAGAAATCCATTGATTATTTTATAAGTTAATTATCTTTTTGGTAATACTTTATTATTCAAAGATATCAGTTCATAATTTTAAACTTGACTTTATAAATTGTCAAGAAGAGCAATAGTTAACTAGTTGAGATGTTCAGTTTTCAACCATTAGGTCCATAATTCAATACATATATATACTGTCCGGTAATAAAACTAAACTACACACAACTCAAGGTCAGAGTTAAGCAAACCAACTTATCTTTTATCACAGTTATGAATGGAGATTATTCTTGATCGGAGTTTTTTTTCAATAATAATAATAAGCAAAGAAATTTTTATACTGATATAAGTTTGTTTTTTTCTTGCATTCATCAATAGTAACCTTTTTTTCATTTTCTCAGTTTAATGAGCTACTATTTACAGTAACAATAAGAATATTTTAAATTAAATGAACAAAAGAATCTTATTAAATCCGTCTAAAGTCTTTCATTTTTCACATTTAAATTTTAAAGAAATACCTTTTAGCAGTACAAACTGATGTGAATTCAAGGGGATTACTAAAAATCTATGGAATGAACGATTCATTTCAACCGAATATGACAAATTGAATCGTTGTTACATTTTTGATTGTTTTTAACTCACCTCTTTTTCATTCATCTATAGTCTAAGTAATATTATGCATTCATCCATTCAATGGGTGTCACGCACCCTACTTTTATGTTATTTAGTTTAATTTATGAATAAACGAATCAGTGAGACTTGGATTTCAACATGAAATTCATTGATCCATAAGGCTAAATAACATTGCAGCTGATGTCGGATCATGATGAGAACCCTGATTCCAATTCCCTCAACCGTATCTTCGAACACTGAATCCTAACTCTAATTTCTCACACTATTTCATGGAGATATTTTTTTCCTGGAAAGTGATTGGAGTTTCTTAAAGTTCATAAATTATAATCTTATCGTTTTTCCTTCTAAATTTGTATAACATCTAAATATTGCATAATCTATTCTTCTAACTAATTATATCTGAATCATAGTACCAGATAGAATAGGCAACAGTAGACAACTATTCAGACTTATCAAGGCAACCGGTATTAGAAATCCATCTGTTAGCGAAACTATCTCAGCAAAGGATGGTATTATTATCCATTCCCAACCCAGGAGATTGGATCGATGGGAATAACACTCGTATATGTTGGGAAACGACTACTAGGTAGGGATGGCGAATCCAGTTGAAGTGGTGAAACTTCGTCAGTTGTGGTGGTTGGGACATATGTTACGTATGCTCAACCACCGAGCGATGTTTTGTGGTGTAGGGGTAGTCTGGAAGAAAGTTAGGAGTGGTCAGACCAAAACATGGCACAAATCCATGAAGTGATTGACAAGTGGACTGAGCCATGTTGGTAAATTTAGACTACCTGGTTGGGGTCTATGAGACGAAAGTCACCAATAGTTAGAGACTCTGAACAACATGGTTCAAAATCGTTTGCAATGGTGCAGGTGCATCAACTCCATTTGTTCTCTCAAATTCTGATATTAAGTCCTCATGACCTTCATCTTCCTCTTTTCAAATCTATTTTACTGGATTATACTTCTTGAATAATATCTTCGAGCTAAACTCTTTCTCAATACTGCTCACACTTGTATTGCCTCTACAACTATGGAATTTGAATCGATAATTGCACATCTGTGCTACCTTGACTACTTCTAATAATAAATTGATCTTGTTTGTAAATTTGTTTATTTGATTGCGAACTAATTAAAAATATACGTTTGCAGTTCTATAGCCTAAAAATATTATGCTCATTACTTGAAAGTTCTAGATTCAAGTCTTATTTGAATCATCAATTTTTACCGATGAGGAATTCCATACTGACACTAAAAAGCTCTCCAATGATACAGAACTATCAAACCCTAACAATCTTCACAAACCGTTTACAATATCACTTATCGATTTCTATTTTTCTCTTTTGAATTTATTTCAGTGGTAATCCAATTTCACAAATATTAAATGATTGTTATGCATCAACTAATAAAATGAAATCAACTGGAGATGTAGATAAGAAACTTCAAAACAAATTGAATGATATGTATAATATGACAAATTCATGTTTAACAGTTCCATTGAATGATACTACTATTCCTCATGATCATATTAATGGTTCTTATGGTACACTTAGTGGTGGTGGTGGCGCTGGTGGTGGCGGCGGTGGCGGAGAGGAATTCGAGTCAGAATTCTACAAATCACAATCTAATTGGATGGAATCATTGATTGTCTCATTAACTAGTATACCATTACGAAATGATGACAATAGAGAACTACTATTACCATCAACTAAACAGAGTTTAAATGAAAAATTACATAAAAGTTTTTCAGATGATGTTAATAGAATTCATGATGAAGCGAGTGATGCCTATGCTGATGATGTTGTAGTTGATCGTGATGATGATGATGATGATGATGATCATGTTAGTGTGATCAATGATATTTGTTTATGTGGTTTTTGTTTAACTGCTATTCGACGCCTTCGTGATTGTCGTTTATGTTCTTCAATGTTTTATTCACAAAAATTATTATTAAATTGTTGTCCATGTTTAGTTGTTGGAAAAAAACAAATTTATCAACATGTAAATAAAGAATTTCCTAATCAATATGAATCTGATATGATTATGGATAAATCAAGCATAAGTGATGATAATGACTGGACTAAAATTACAAGAGACACACATTTTGTTCAATGTTGTAAATGTGTTTCTTTGAAACCTATACTGGATGTATTAGGTACCATGTTAGATTTATCATTATTACTCAAACCAAAATATTTAATATTATGGATTTCTAATTTAATTGGTTTATTAGGTAAGTTATATGACTTGATATTTTGTACACTTACTTTTTTTTTAAAAAATTCATTCATTGCTAAGAAATCGATTTGCGAATGACAGACAGTTCTACATTTCATTCCTATCTTACTTACTTACGTCTGTTACCCCCAATGGAGCATAGGCCGCCCACCACTTTTCTCCAACCAACCCTGTCCTGGGCTTCCCTTTCCAGTTCTTTCGAATGTTTGTTCATTCCTATCATATCTTTCTCTATTTCTCGGCGTAATGTGTTCCTTGGCCTTCCTCTTTTCCTTTTGCCTTCAGGGTTCCATGTGAGGGCTTGTCTTGTGACGAAGTTAGGTGCTTTTCGTAGTGTGTGTCCTATCCACTTCCACCGCTTCTTCCCGATTTCCTACTCCACTGGAATCTGGTTTGTTCTCTCCCACAGTACGTTGTTGCTGATGGTGTCTGGCCAACGGATCCGAAGTATTTTGCGTAGACAACTGTTAATAAACACTTGTATCTTCTGAATGATGGCTTTGGTAGTTCTACAAGTTTCCGCTCCTTACAGTAGCATTGTCTTAACACTTGTAATGAAAATCCTGATTTTGGTTTTGTTTAGAGTTCCAGATATTTTTCAACTGTAGAAATGCAGCCCTTGCTTTGCCAATCCGCGCCCTCACATCTGTATCGGATCCACCTTGATTGTCGATGATGCTTCCAAGATATGTAACGGTGTTAACGTCCTCCAAGGCATCTCCATCAAGAGTGATTTGGTTGGTGCATGTTGTGTTACATCATGCACCAACGAAGTTGAAATGTTAATTTCTAGTGTTTGATAACTTTAACATCATCAATATCCTCAGTTAGTTGTTATTTAAGAAAAGTAAGACCTCGAATAAATATGGCGACATTCTGCGTCACAACAAGAGGGAATCTGTTGGGATATTCATACAATATCCTAAGAGAATTATTGGTCAATTCCTATTGGTTAATTTATACTGGTTAATTTTATGATCGTCCTAGATATCAATGTCACGTACTCCAATGTTGTTTCCTATTGGTCGTCTTAACTGTCAATGTCACAGACTTCGATGCTGTTTCCTATACGACTTAAATGTATAAATACGCATTGTCTGTAACGTTTTAGGACCCGGATCCCTAGTCCGGGATCCTGATTCTCTTCTGGACTCTGACCTCGTACTTTCTGAATGCTTATAGAATATAGGTTCTACTTCATATCAAGTCTTCTTCTTTTATTCAATGGGAGTTGGGACACTCGGATTAGAGTAGCATGTCGTGTCTCCGGGTCCTCGCTCTCGTTTTTCGACTAAGGTAAACTCGTAATAATTCAAGCTATCAAAATGACATGTTTGCGTGCATGCCTAACAGAATCGTTGCATTGAAGAACAATAGAAGTAGTCAAAATGTGAACATAGAGAATCTAGTTCGGAAAAAGGCAAATGAAATCGAAGAATGTTCACTGTGAAATAATATTAAAACTCAATATTTGTAGAATTAAATGAATCGATGTAACTGTTCCATTGTAATCTTCTATTTCTGATCATAACATCCAAATTGTCTAACTTTATAATATAATTGTAGACTACGGTTCCCCTAGATTTTTCCCCCTCAAATTACTCTTATTCCATCTAGCATGGCATGTCAACCATCTTTTTGGTTTCTAAAAATTCAATATGTTGTACAGCTTATCTTTAGTGTATTATTGTTATCAATATAAAAGTGGGACAGATTTTTAAAATTTCATATTTTATTCTCTTAAAACAAACACATTTAACATTATATCAATTTAACTAATACTGCATTTAATTATACCAGCTAAATTAACTTATCATTAATTGAAATTCATTTCTTATCTACAATTTGAGTCACTCATTGATGATCAGTTTTATTGGTAATCAATGATTACCTAACTGACCTTCTTCATGTTGTTAGTCATTATTTACTTTTCTATGTGACTTACCATTTTAACAATGTTATTTTTTACACGGTAAATTGACATTTAAATCAATATTATAATTATTATTGTTTCTATTTTCATTATATTCAAATGTACGACCTATTATTGATTGGTTTTGTTACGAAATTACTTTGCAATCAATGAAGGCATGTATGTGCCATTGATTTATGTTAGTGATTTCGCATCGACTTATGGAATATCTACTAAATTGTCAGCTTATTTCTTATCGATTATGGGTGAGTATATATTTGAAAAGTTTTATTAATTAGTCATTATATGATTTACATTTTACCTTGATCTATATGTTGTATGTAGTACATGAATCATTCATTGTATACTGTTTAATACTGACTAACATAGCATTAATTTGAAAAAAAAAACTCAAATTGTAGTTCAACGAAACTGTGAACTTTGTATGAAGAAAATCTCAGATCATGTTACCTGAGAAGTAAACATCTTAAATTCTATTTTGAGCAAGATTATAGGTTTGTGCTGTTGATTAATTTGTGGCTAAAACATCAGAGCTAGCAAATCCTATCTGACTTTCTATCATCTGCAGGTTAATATTACTTAATTATGAAAATTAATTTTCAACTGAAGCCTAAATCAATTATTGTGTTATTGTCATGTAAATTGTATATTTCATTTCCATGTCATCATATTTCTGACCTGCGATAATGATTTAATCAAATTATCGTTACCAAATGAAATAAAAACAATGAACATTGTAATAAAATCTGACTGTTTCAGTAAATAGACTGTGTAATAATAATAATAATAATAATAATAATAATAATAATAATAATAATAATAATAATAATAATAAATCTAGTTCACAAGTTAATGTTTTCAGTAGTTAAATTGTTTAAATTTAAAAAAATCAAGTTATTTGGTTTCGTTTGTCATAACTTTCTGTCAAATAAAAAAAATATTTTTAATGATATAACAATAAAATCATTTAGTTTCTCTTGCTTTCATAATCCAGCATATATATATATATATATATATATATATATATATATATATATATATATATATATATATATATATATTTCTACGGAAGAATAGATAGTTTGTAAATGCTGAGTTGTAGTACGTTACTGCACATTTTTTTAGTGTAACTTTATCACAGACAACATCTCTTTCATCCACATTTAATGTATACACATCGTTCATCATGGAAAAAAAGGAGTTGTTATTCGTAAGTGATTCTCACTACAGACAGAAATTAACTGAAGTAACATTGTAAAATCAGTCTTGGTTCATGAATTTTCATAAGTACTGATTGAAATGTGATGATTTTTGGACTCTGTCTCGTATGAGGTTACAGGTGTGTCCTAATAAGAGGTGCTAAATTAAGACAAGATAGTAGCTCATTTTGCAGCCTTTCTTAATTTATTATTTATTATCCGATGAAAATCTTTTTCAAGATATTATACACTTTGCAAAATCATCTTTGTCACTTATTTAGGAGACCCAAACAGTGACATCTTCAAAATACAATCTTTGGTAATGTGAATTTGAATTCCACAGACAGCATGTTTTGCTTATTTATTGCAGATATACTTTGAAACAATCTATCTAATTAAGTTTAATTTGAATAAAGCTCCACATAAAAGTATCTTGACTAATTTTAAGAGTTCTAAAAACAATTTCTCTTTACTTTAAATACATTGAATTGTGAAAATTTATCATGTGTTATGTAATTTTACATTGTACACCTGTTTTATTTATCGTTTAAAAAAAAGGTGTTTCAAGTATTATTGGACGATTACTTGTTGCATGGTTAAGCAGTTTATCATGTGTTTCTCCATTAATTTTACAAACTATTACACAATTCTTACTTGGACTACTTGTATGTTTAATGCCTGTTTTTACAACATTTATCGGTATGGCTACTTCATTTGGATTCTATGGATTTTTAACTGGTATGTTACAAAATTGTTTCTAGTTTCTTCTATTTTTTATTTTCCCTGCTTATGTTTTTGTTCATCTGTGCAACAAGCTTAGTTTTCACTTGAAATATAAATAATATAGATATAGATTATTGTTATCCTATGCTTTGAGTGGTCCATTTCATGTTAGCTAACTAGATTTATTTCTTGAAAATCTTGATGATCGAACGCGAGCGCTTAAATGTATAAAATAGTTATTTGATGATCTAGTTGACAAAATACACTGGTTTTAGGCTATTCTTTGTTTCATTGCGGGGTTGTGAAGATTGGAATCATGAATCGATCAATGTTGAACCGCCATTAAAAACCTGGAAGCACTGGATGGCTGTTTCGTCCTGCTATGGGACTCATCAGCAGTGCGCATCCATGACTCCTGCACCTCGCATGATTGTAACCCCGGGATCCTCGGTCGTGCGTGCGAATGCCTAATCTCTGGATCACTGAGCCGGTATCTAACGATGTTAATGTTTAATTTCTTTGTTTCATTTAGTTGTTACAACCTTAAATAGTATTTCTCAAAATATTATTACTTCAAATTAAAACATTCTTCAAATTGAATATTTCGCATCGAAAAATAAGTCTTTATAAGAAAATTAACATGACTTGAATCTCAATAGAGAAAGTATCAGTATCCTTCAGTTTACAGATGACTATTAGGACTTTTCTGTTGATTGTTTTTTACTCACTTTATATTTACAGATAACACATATTTGAAATGGGATTTTATATATTTGATAAATTTTATTATTAATTGTAGACATTAAAATATTTTTCATGTAGATATTGTTGAACTATATTGAATAAATAAATGAACAATATTTTATATGATATATTTTTCTCGTTATCAAAAAAAAAATTTTCAAATGTTACTTTCTTTTTTTCATGCAAGGTGTCTTCTCCACTCTTAGTACAATTATATTATATGATCTAGTTGGAATGGATGAACTTACTACAGCTGTTGGTTTGATAACATTAAGTCGTGGTATATCTAGTGTTTTAGGTGCTCCATTAGTCGGTATGTTGTTTACAGTGTTATTGTAATCTTTGAGTTGTATAACATGCTCAATAATTTCAAATATATGTAGTTTGAAAATTCTTTTCATATATATATATATATATATATATATATATATATATATATATATATCGGTATGGTGTTTTTTAGAGATTATTAAACGTTGTTGAAATCACGAACCAATTTTATTTAGACACTAAGTAAGCAAAAGGACAGCGACTTGTTTCTTAGTAGGATACGCCCATGACCTTACTGGCTGTTAAATAACAGACCTTCAGGTTTTGTCAATAGAGCTTAACATTCCAATCACTTAGTCAATATCCAATGGCATACATGTATGACTTCACTTAGTGGTTTAATGGTTAAGTTTTAGTGGTAAAACCAGACGGTCCTGGATTCGATTACTCCAAGGTTTCAGGTTTTGGAAGCACAGAATGTGGGTCAAAATTTCTACATTTTACTTTATTCCTAATCCTTTACTTATTGAATTTGAGTGTCCTGAAATGTTGAATCGACTAATTTAGTTGCCTTAGAGCAGACTTAACCGACAAAATCTTATTAGTTAGGACTACCCAGTAATTGACAAATTTTGGATATATTGTAGTTGTATAGTGATTATTTAATAGAGATACATAGTTCTCTGTCACTGATGTGTATCCTGAGAAAGATTTTCCGTCGAAAATTAATTTCATAGTTAATAGTAATATCTTCTGAATTCGAAATAGGTAGATTCGGATCCGAACTTGTATTACGGTAAATTAATTAATTAATTATTATTATTATTACTCGGTTATGGCTAACAGTGAAAATCCTATTCAATTAATCTCTTTTAAAAGTAGTATTGTGTCTGCAATCAACACCAATGTTATTACTAGGAATATACTTAACTTTATATGCATAATAGTTTAGAAGTATGATTTCAATTTGAAGCACTGGGTGGTATCATTACCGAACTTTACAGTCTAATTAGTTTGCAATTTTTTATGTTTCAAGAAATTGATTATAAAATTATGTGCAGAAATATAATCCGATATATCAAATGAAAAATAGACTAAATTATAAAATTGTACGGAGCTATTTGTGTACAATAATAGAAATGATAATCATTCAATGTTGATTATTTATATTCAATTTCAATATTTTCAGTACATTTTGTTTGCTTTTTTTTCCGAATGTGATTTACAACAAAATTTTGATTTCATTTATTTTATTTAACCATATAAAACTAATTTACAATAAATTTGTCCTTAAAGTACAAAGTGAAATAATTCTGAGTAGAACAATTGAACGGATTCCATCATGTAAACTTTTGATATTTCTTTTAATCTTAAATAGAAACAATACTTACTATACTTAAATATGGCATAGTTGCTAAGATACTGGGAATTGTGTTCAAATCCTGGTTTCAGGATATTTCCTTTGTGTATTTTTATTATGTAGAGAGAGAGAGAGAGAGAGTAGGTTGGTTAACGAAAAGCAAAAATAGAAGACGTACTACACTGATGACCACCTTAGTATTCAAAAAAAGCATATAAAAACCGAGATTCGAAAAGAGATTCATGTTTACAAATTTATTACTTCATATTGTTACGTATAACTCTTTTTTTTTATCTCTCATGATAGTTTGATGCAAAAACAAGCGAAATGTTATAAAATACAAGAGGTTTGTTTCTGCATAAACTTACAGTGCTTATAGTTAACTGTGAATACATTATTGTTGTTCTTTTTACATATAATTAACTATTTCCATTGTTCATAGTAGATTCACTCTGTCACTAAGTTGTATGTATGAGATGTTCTATAGCAAAGCCATTACCTGTGTTAAGTCAGTCAAGTCCCAGACGAGAATAAACTGGTAACTCATTGATGAGACTGAAATATGGGTTGGTCTATATTTTTAAAAATATTGATTGCTATTAGAACCAGTGATAACTAGTAATTTATGTAATCAGTTTATTGCGCTTAATGTGAGACTAGGTTTTAGGTCTCGATCCATTCTGAGGTTGTCAGTACACATCGTTAAGAAGAGTCTCGAACCAAAATGAAAGAGCTGTTCAGTGCTCACTAATCTTTATCATATGATGAAGATTACTTTTAAAAATTACACAACATAGAACACTTTAATTATATATATATATATATATATATATATATATATATATATATATCTTAGTGTGCTTGGAACTATTAGGAGTTCATCTTACCCGGTAAACGGAACGAAGAGCACTGACTCATTGACACAATAGGCTATTCTAATCCGATTGTTCCCGGCCCTGCTAACTAGATCAACAAGTCTTGATAAGGAGTGGAGAATGTGTTGGACAAACACCCAGAAAATTCGAGGTAGCTAAGCACACAAACCAAGCTTGTTTATACAATGATAGAAACGCCCTTAGGAGAGCCACAAAATAGCGTACTAAAATAATCCATCAACCAATGACAGTCTAGGATTGTCGAGGGGAGAATATAACCTGAAGGTCAACCGGCGCGAAAACATGGAAACTCAAAATTTCAGAATAAAATTACAAAATTATGATCTTTTCAAGTGAGTTCTGGGGATCTAACGTCCCCAACAGAACTTCACTGTCAGTACGAAGCAAAGCTTTCAGTGGAATATTGTTAAACCGAATGAAATATCTTATAAACTCCTGACTTCGAGATCAAAAGGTTGAATTTCATAGGAGTCATTGTGGAACAATCAATTGAATGGAACTCATTCCTGTTAGTAATCTTTCTTGATTATCACGAATTATTTGAAAGCGTGGACAGGCAGAACCTTATGAACTATTTTTCGACGCTGTGGAGTACCTGAGAAGTAGTAGTCAGCATAATACGAAATTCCTACGATGGACTACACTGCAAAATCATGGTTTAAAGGATTTATTTGGCAATGGGTTGTTTTGACAAATACGTATTTCAGAAGGAATGTTTAAACCTTGTAAAATGGCAATTGATTACATTTTGAATAGTGGCTAGTAGCAGATTTCAGGAAACTCATTTTTTACTATTTGAATGTTGTCAGCTGTCTGTGTTTACCTCTCAATATTAGTGTGTTCACTACAACTAAATAACCGTCACTTAAAATCTGAGTAAGTGGTTTACACTTTAGGCTACTGGATGATGATTAGCTAGCAACTTGTTTAATGGTTGTGGTATTAATTGAATAGAAATAAAAAGGCATCTTGCACTCCAATCCTAGCCATTACTCAAAATACAGAGGAAATGTAGAAACTGTTACTATTAAGGCAATCTTCTCAAAAAGCCTATATCCTAGCAGTGCATAACAATAGCGCAAAAAATATACACATCTTTAAAAGTAATGAATTATATAAAATGAATTCATAAAGTTATTTTCAACTCGAACCCCAAATGATTTAATTTTTATTCAGATATCTTTGTTTTGAAAATAATTTACCGTAAATACAGTTACTTTTTACAACCTGATTATATGTTCGTCTGATCCGAGAATTTTTGAATCAAATTTAAAAAAAAAACTCTCAGTAGATAATTGATTTCTTGTTTTCACTTAAGATTTAATCCTGTGAGTATTATTTGGTTCGGAAGGACAATAACACTAGCAGAAGTTCCTATCAACTCATGTACTCATGGAATAATCAGAATAGTGTTTGTTAATCTATCCACTAAAAATGCTAACTGGCCTGATTCTTTGATGATGAGAATTATAGTCTCAAATGAACATTGCACTAACTAAAACATTATTAAATGTCAACTTTCGGATTGATAAAAGTATATAGAAAACTTTTTGGTTTAATAGTTCAGTGAAAGCATCTAAATACAGTTAGATATGTATAAAACGAAGAAGTAATTTGTAGATCATGTTTTCATGCAAAAAAAAATAACGGTTAGGTATTTTTCGAGGGATCGGTGTTCACTTCGCATCAGTCGGATTATGTAATTATAATTGCATGGAGTAAAATTATGTGGTTAGTTAGTTGACAGTGAATGTAATTCGCTCGTACTAAACACCGGTAGCTAATTTACCAATACCAATCCATTGTGAGAGCCTGTCTGTGTAGAAGTTATAGAGTAGACTTATAAAGCTTGAAATAAATAAGCTGTTTATTTATTCGACCACTTTAATGAGAAAATTAGTTCAAAACAATGTTAAGACTTAATTGATCTGAAAAATGTGATGTATATTTGCGCTATACATTTCGAACAATCTGGTCATACATATTTTATATGAAAATTAATAAAGGGTAATGTGACATTTTCCGTTTTCTTTCTATACTATGTTAATTATCTCTCTCCTTCATTTACAATTAACACCTTCTGCTTATTTGAACACTTATTTTCCATCTAAAAAATGCCTTAACCAGATTGTTCGAAATGTATATGGCGCAAGTGTACATCACATTGTTCTGATCAACTAAATCTTTTCATTGTTCTATCAAAATTTCTAAAAGGCACTACATCGTTTTAAATTTAGATTTCAAAATACTTTGTACCTTTTTTTTACTGTCTTCATTTTATCAATAAGTTGTTTTGTCATATTCTCTCTAAACATGATTAATAATAACCTTTGATATTAATTTGTTTTGACCCTGCTACTATGTTTGTAATAGCAAGTCAAGTGTACACGCAATTATGTGAACATTTGTTTATATCTTCGATTTTTTAAGTTATACAAATCGGTTATCTTATTACAAACATGAGTCATATTGTTAACAGAGATTCGTTTTTTGTTATGCAATACTAATGATATTTATTGAAAACCTTATCAATTTTTTAGTCACATAATTTATTGTTTATTATTCTGGTGCATTATATTTCATAGAATTAGAATTCTTAAACTTTGTTTACTGCTCGTCCTGATAACTGTTACTAGATAACGGCCCAATGGTGTATAGAATTTAGACAACGAATACGAAGCGTTGATGACATTTATAACCGCACAAAACCGCAAGTATACAAAGCGAATGTCAAGGGATGAATAAATAGAATTTGAAATGTACATATATATGAGAAAATGAATGAAT